ACAGGTAAGGGTGGGATGATAGGTGTGTTGAACGGTATGGGATGACAACCTGACACGTATGTTGAGGTATGGGTGGAAGGGGTCAAGTCAATAGGCTTTTCCAAGCAGGGGGCGCTTGGGATCTCTATTTTTGAGGGGCCTCAAAAGAGGAGTCTATTTTTGAGGCGCCTGAAAAATGGGCGCCTCAAGCAGGGGGCAGTTGAAAAGGTACCCAGAGCACTCCCATCAGCGCTGGCAGAAGGGACATGCGCATGTTGTGTGGAAGACAGGTGGAAGAGTGCGATCATTTTCAAAAGACAGGTGTGGCAGACAGGTGTGACAAACAGGTGTGGCAGACAGGTGTGGAAGGCAGGTGTGGCAGACAGGTGTGGCAGACAGGTGTGCTGCATTCACTTACCTTTGACTCGTTCCATCCCTTCCATCCCTTCCATCCCTTCCATCCCTTCCATCCCTTCCATCCCTTCCCTTGCACGCATCGTAGTTCTCGTCATGTTGTACGACTTGTTTTGGGACCCCCATTATTGCATCTCTTCCTCCCATCTGCTGGTTTTTACTTCTGCTCAAAGTGCTACATGCAAGCAATATAAGAGGTGGGAAAGAGATGCCTTATAGCCCCATGCCAGTGCCCGTTGCTCTCAGATCTTCTGTTTTTTCATGAAGTTTACAAGTCGGTGCTTTAGGCAGTTGAATAGTTGAGGACAGCAAAGAAACCGAGAGCAAGGGGCATTAGTATGGGGTTATAGAACCTATGTTTTGTAGTCGTAAGCATCCCTACTTCACATGTTCTTCGTATGACCCCCACTTTCTTTTTCTTCTTTCAGTGAGCATAGACGACAATGTCGCGTATGAGACCAAGGCACTGCTCCATGTGTCCTTCGCCCCTCCCCTCTTTTCCCCCCAACCACCAGCGCTGCATGGTGATTCACGCCACAGGCAACATGCGAAAAGAGGACAACATAGCCTATGAGACCAAGGGCCACTGCTACCTGCTGGAGGAGGGGAGTGAACTCAACAACCTCTTCACCCGCAACCTTGGGATCAACGCCAGAAAGGGTATGTCGTTCTTGGGATAAGCACGTATGAGAGCAAGGGCCACTGCTACCTGCTGGAGGAAGGGAGTGAACTCAACAACCTCTTTACCTGGAACCTTGGGATCAACGCTAGGAAAGGTGGGGGGGTGATCCTTAGGTGTTACACATGGAAAGGCGGGGTGGGGGGCACACATGGAACCTTTGGATTAGGGCAGTCTTTCTCATCCCCATTACCCCCTCATGCACCCCTCCCCCCACACCCCCCCCTCCCCCCCCAAATCATGTCCCCCCTTGCAGTTGACAGCGTAATTCCTCCTGCCAGCAGCAGCTAGCTGGAAAAGCAGGCGGACTGACAGCCCACCACGTTTTGGCTGGCAACGCCCTTCAGCAGCTTCATTGACAACGTGGCTGCCGGGTCGGAGAACTCGGGGAGAGTGGAGTAAATATCATGTATTTCGTGTGCATGCTTATACCATACAGCATTGCAGACAAGACCCACCACCTTTTGGCTTGCAACGTGGAGCAACGTGGAGCTGTTCAACAGCTGAACAGCGTGGGGCAACGTGTTGCAACGCTGGAGCAACGTGTTGCAACGTGGAGCTGTTCAACAGCTGAACATCGTGGAGCAATGCTGGAGCAACGTGGAGCTGAACAACTGCTGAACAGCTCCATTAACAAACTGGCTGCTGGGTCGGAGGATTCAGGGTAAGTTGAGTAGAATTTCTCTATCTTGTGTTGTATCTATCCATCTATGCATGAGGTATACAGCACTGTTGTTAACAGCCCAGCACGTTTGAAGCTGGCTGGCCATGCACTTCTGCAGCTTCATTGACAATGTTGCTGCTGGGTTGTAGGACTCGGGGCGAGTAGAGTGCGGCGGTGTGTGGTGTGCCGTGGTGTGCCGTGGTGTGCTGTGCTGTGTCGTGCTGTGCTGTGCTGTGCCGTGCTGTGCCATGCTGTGCCGTGCTGTGCCATGCTGTGCCGTGCTGTACCGTGCTGTGCCGTGCTGTGTCGTGCTGTGCCGTGCTGTGCCGTGCTGTGCCGTGCTGTGTCGTGCTGTGCCGTGCTGTGCCGTGCTGTGCTGTGCTGTTGCAATGTGGTTCGCACATGCTGTCCCTTGGTCTCACCTTTTTCCCCATCGCACTCCGCACCTCTCTTTTTGAGGCGCCTCAAAAATACACTCCGCAACTCTCTCCCCATCTCAATCCTCACGTATATCCTCCCCCCCTTTTACCCTTCCCCCCTCTTGAAGCGCTTCCAGGTTTTGGCTGGAAGCAACCCCTTACACGCGAGGAGACTCCAGGTTGCTGCCTGCGATGGGCGCCAAGAACCCCCTGACCTACAACTGGGGTCGGTACAGCGGAAAAATCGCCCAAACATCCCCCTTATACCCTTCCCTCTCCCCTGCCTCTCCCCCCCCCTCCCCCCTCTCCTCCCCCCCCTTTTCCCCTTCTCCCCAAATAGCCCTCCAGATTTTGGCTGAAAGCAAACCCTTACATGGGAGGAGTCTCTAGGTTCCTTCCTGTGATAGGCGCCAAAAATCCCCTCACCTACAACTGGGGGCGGTACACCGGGAACATTGCCCACACATGCCATCCCCTTTAGACCCTTCACCCCCCCCCCTCCCTCCCGCCCCTCTCCACCCCACTCCAGTTCTGGCTGGAAGCCACGCCATACATGCGAGGAGTCTCGAGGTTGCTGCCTGCGATCGGTGCCAAGAACCCCCTGACCTTCAACTGGGGGCAGTACACTGGGAACATCGCCCACACCAACCTGTTTGGCTTCCGAACCTACCCGCACAGCTCGTACGCGCGCTTTACGGTTCGGAGCACCGAGCCTGCCCCGCTGAAAGACTTTCTTGTCTACCGCAATAAAGTGGGGTGAGTGTGGTGTGGGTGTGAGTGTGAGTGTGGGTGTGTGGGTGTGAGTGTGGGTGTGTGGGTTTGTGAGTAGGTGGGTGAGTGAGAGTGCATCACACTCACTGGCCCTTGCTCACTATTTTTGAGAATTCTCAAAATACCCTGCAAACTCACTGCCCATGCTCACAGCACTGATCCTACTGCGCAAGAAGACGTTCTGGTGGACCAAAACAAGTGGGTTCAGTGTGGGCATATATGTGTGTGTCTTTGAGGCACCTCAAAACTATTTTCATTAGAGATTATATGAGTTGTGCCACCATTTATGTCACACGGCTACGGGCATAAATGTGTGCCACTGTCAATGATGCCCTCTTTTATGGCCATAACCGCGTGCCACCGTTTATGTCACACGGCTACGGGCATAAATGTGTGCCACTGTCAATGATTCCCTCTTATGGCCATAACCGCGTGCCACCATTGCTTATGTCACACGGCTACGGGCATAAATGTGTGCCACTGTCAACGATGCCCTCCTATGACCATAACCGCATGCCACTGTTTATGTCACACGGCTACGGGCATAAATGTGTGCCACTGTCAATGATGCCCTCTTATGGTCATAACCGCGTGCCACCGTTTATGACACATGGCTACGGGCATAAATGTGTGCCACTGCCAATGATGCCCTCTTTTGGCCATAACCGCGTGCCACCGTTTATCCCCATACCCAAAAAACCGAGCCTATTGCTGCCCACAACAGCCAAAACACAAAGCCCCCCGCCCCCCTTCTAACCCTTTTTCAACAGCCAGTGCACCGTCGTTCAGAGTGTATTCTCACCTCTCTGTTCTCTTTCTCTCCCCCCCTCCCCTCTTCCCCCCTCTCCTCCCTTACACCTCTTCCTACCAGAATGTTCTTTTTCAACATCGAGCGCATCGTGGTACAGGACAGCACCTTCCTGGAAAACGCCATCGGCATCGACCTGAGTCGCAATGTGAAGATCTTGGCTTCTGGCAACGTGTTCTTGCACAAACCGCTGCTTCTTCCTCCTCTTCCTCCTCTGCCTCTACCTCTACCTCTGCCTCTATCTCAGACAACAACCAAAACAATCAGCAGCAGCATCAGCAGGTAGCAGCAGCACCAGCAGCAGCAGCAGCACATGCTCTGCAGCCAGTTCTGCTGCTTCTCGCGCAAAAGGCCCGACCACTCTCACGCAGCCGGATACCCTCGCCCTTGCTCTGGGGCCGCTGGATGATGCGTACAGCACAGGAACGCCAGTGGTGAATTGTTACTGGCGTTTGTGATGATGTGAGTAAGTCCTGTTTGTTCTTGTGCAAAAGGCCCGACCGTTCTCACGCAGCCTGATACCCTCGCCCTTGCTCTGGGGCTGCTGGATGATGCGTACGGCACAGGTACGGTAGTGGTGAATTATTACTTGCATTCGTGATGCGAGTAAGTCTTGTTTGTTCTCGCGCAAAAGGCCCGACCACTCTTACGCAGCCTGATAACCTCGCCCTTGCCTTGGGGCCGCTGGATGATGCTTATGATGCAGGTAAGCTGTACATTTGATTGGCACAACTGGCAGCTTCGACTCGCCTGTGGGGATTGTAGTAACCGTGTGTTCCCCTGTCTTTCCACTGCTCCAGGAATGGTGAGGCAGCAGCAGCAGAGAGTAGGCCCCATGTAGAGGGTGATAGGGGACGGCACGACTGGCAGTTTCAACTCACCTGTGGCTGTGGGGATTGTAGTAACCGTGTCTTTCCCTGTCTTCCCACGGCTCCAGGAACGGTGAAGCAGCAGCAGAGGGTGGGGGCACTGCAGAGGATAGGGGCACTGAAGAGGCTGGGCCCCATGCAGAGGGTGATAGGGGATGGCACAATAGGCAGCTTTGACTTGCCTGTGGGGATTGTTGTCAGCCAGTACAACCTGTCCGACCCCCCTGGGCCCAACTCCACCCAAGACTCCTTGTGAGTTAACTCCCTTGAATCTCTTGACTCTTTTGGTGTTCTTGGTAACTTAGCTGATTCTTGTGTTGGTGGATTCAAGTCGCCTGTGGGGATTGTTGTCAGCCAGTGCAAACCATCCGAACCCCCTGGGCCCAACCCCATTCAGGATAGCTTGTGAGTTGACTCAGTTGACTTGGCTGACTCGGCTGACTCGGTTGACTCGGTTGTGGGGATCCTGTGCAACCCCTTGGAGCCACCTGGGCCCAACTCCATCCAGGATTCCTTGTGAGTACGGTTCTTGAGTCCAAAAAAACCTAACACTGCCTTAACTCTCCTCACTAGGATCACCCAGATGTGATAATGATGTGATCTTCGCACTTCTGATTTTTCAGGCGCTTTAAAAGCTTTCCCTCCCACCACCGCACTGGCAGTGTGGCGCACGGGTAAAGCCCCATGAGGCAGAGTGACGGGGACTCGAGAGACCTCATTGGTTACGGTGTTTACTAGAATAATTTCAGGGCCTGCCCGGGAGTGTGGGCAGCCGCCGAAAATCAGAAGATGTTGACCGAATGTGGTGAGGGAGTGTGAGAACCGGTGAGGAATGGATACCAGGGCAGAATCCCAAACCTTGGTCCACCGAACGAGCAGTCTGCTGCTATCGGCACCAGTGCTGTTGGTGATGCTGGTGCCGTTGGTGATGCTGGTGCCGTTGGTGCTGCTGGTGCCGTTGGTGATGCTGGTCATGCTTCGATTGATGCTGCCTGCAGTGAAGTTACCTCGAGAGCTTTGAGGCACCTCACATCCCCCAAGCCCCCGAGTTGAGGCGCTACCCAAAACCTCAAAAAGAAGAGATCTGAAAACACCTTCCGGGAGTCTCGTCCTCCAAATAGATCAACCCGGTTGCCGACAGTAGCCATGGCATGGGCATGGTGACGGGCAGGCATCTGACCGGAAATAGCTGGGTCGGGCAGCCAGGAAAAGGATTGGGCAGAGAAGACCTGGAGGGAGTCCAGGGGCGGGGCGTCAGGGCGGGACATGCCTCCGAAGACAAAGACCGACGACCCCAGTGCTGCTGCTGCATGGCGATACCTTGGCACAGGCACTCCTGCTGTAGCAGCTGTAGCAGCCGCCGCTTCATCCACTGCTCCTGTAGCAGCTGTAGCAGCCGTTTCACCCACTGCTCCTGTAGCAGCTGTTGCTGCTGTCGCTTCTGTGGCAACAGTTCCTGCTGCAGCAGCCGTGGCCGCTGTCGCTGTTGCCACTGCTGTTGCTGCTGTACCCCCTGCAGATTGTGCCTCTGGCCCTGCCTCATGGCGCCACGTCATCGTCTGAAGATTGAGGGAGAATACATCTGCCAGTGCAGCTGTGGGGCCGTGCCTGCCCCCAACAACCACCATCTCCTCCTCCTCCTCCTCCTCCTCCTCCTCTCCCTCTCTTCCACTCTCCTCATCCCTCCATTTTTCCTCGGCTCTCCTCGTCCCTTTCCCCCTCCCTCCTCTCACGCTCACCACAGTGGCTGTATGAAACATGCGCGCACTCAGTCCCCTCCCTCCAGTCTCCACCACAGTCCCTTCCAACACACTCCCCTTCCCCACCTGTTCTCCCCCCACCTGCCTTCCCCCCTCCTTTCCTCCCCACCACACTTGCCCTCCTCCTCTCCATTTCGTCCCTTCGTCTCTCCTTCCCTCACCCTCACCACAACCACGTCGTTTCGCCTGTTGTGCACCCCACTTCCCCCAAACCCCCCAAAAACCACCACGGCTCTGCCTGCTTCTGCTCTGCCTGCTCCCACTGTCCCTGCCACAGTTGACCCTGCGACTGCTGCTTCTTTAATTTCCGCTGCCCCTCCTGCAGCCACAGCTCCCACCACTGCCCCTGCACCAACCGTCACAGCTGAATGGCCCCACCTCAAAAGACTGCCGTCGGGCAGCCCTAAAACCTTCACCACCTGCCCGTGCACCTGCCGGTCATGTGCCTGGTTACCAGGCTGGGAGAGATCATCCAGTCCTTGAGCTGACTCTACTGCCAGCTTTCCTAGTCGGGCTGATCCCTGGGGCATGTCCCACGCGCTGCTGCTGCAACAAACAGCCACATCCTGTAGTGGCAGCGTGCCGGCATCTGCTGCCACTGCTGCTGCTGCTGCTGCCGCTGCTGCTGCTGGTGCTGATGATGCTGGCACTGTTGCAGCAGCACCAGCAGCACCAGAAGCAGCAGCAGCAGCAGCAGAAAGAGCAGAGATAGATTTCGAGACCCCTGTGGCAGAACCCCTGCCCCCCAGCACCAGCCTCCTCTCCACCTCCCCTATTCTCCGCAGCACTGCCACCTGGCGCTGTGCCAGCTGGCATCCCTGGCGTTGCGCTACGTGGCCATCCACCGCCCCTTGCTGCTCTCTTACGCTGTGCCGTGCTGCCTTCCTAGGATGAGATGGCTTGGGGAGCGCTGGGTGAGGGTGTGGCCCGGGTGTTGGGTTGAGTGGTTCGGACGGTTTGGGTGACGGATGGACCATGCTGGAACAGCTGCACTGCGACAAGGGAGGGGTGGGAGAACGAGAGGGGGAAGAAGGGGAAGAGGGGCAAGTGAGGGACAAGGGGACAGGGTAGAGGGTAGAGGTGGGTCAGGGAGGTGGAGGAGAGGGGAGAGAGTGGGGAGTGGGGAGAGTGGGGAGAGGGGAGAGTGGGGGTAGTGGGGAGAGCAGGGAGTGGGGAGAGAGGGGGGAGTGGGGAGAGGGGAGAGTGGAGAACAACGGACTGCTCTGCTCTCAGTCCGTCCGGACCGGAGCACTCTCAACTCCCTAAGCCAAGTGCCATTCTCCCCATGGGCCGTGCTGCACCCGAAACCGCGTGGAATGAGCCTGCTTTTGAGTCGACTAAAAAGCGGACCGGAACACTCTCAATTCTCTAAACTAAATCAAGTGCCATTCTCCCCATGGGCTGGGCCGTGCTGCACCCGAAACCTGATCCACAGCATTGTCAAGCTCACTCACCCACGCCATGGCACGCCCTCCCTCATCTCCAGGCTTTAATCTCATTCACTTCTCTCCCAGTTGAGCATCGCGTCACCTTCCCATATTGCCCACCCTCAGCCCGAGACCCCAAACCTTGTGAGTCACTTGACTTCCAAGCACCACCACCCCACTCTCTCACCTCTTCCTTGAACCTCGCCCTGAATCGGTCTGTTCTCTCGCGGTTGAGCGCCATCTTCCCATTGGCCACCGCCGCCAGGTGGCGCACGAACGCCTCCCCAACCAATGGCACGCCACTAGCTGTCAGCGGCGCCTCGAGGTGGATGGAGCAGCGAATGGCTGCAATAATTCGCTTGTGGCTGACGCTGGTGATGCCTGGGGGGGGGGAGGGGGGGGGAGGGGAAGGGGGAGGGGAGAGCGGGAAGAGCCAGGAGAGTGGAGAGAGTGGAGAGAGCAGAGAGAGCGGGGAGAGCGTATCTGATAACCTGGTCCTCTCGAAACGGATGGAGCAGCGGATGGCAGTGATAATGCGCTTGTGGCTCACACTGGTAGGCCTTGGGGGGGGGGGGGGGGGGGGGGGGGGGGGGGGGGGGGAGAGAGGAGGGGAGTGGGGAGGAGGGAGGGAGGAGGGGAAGGTGAGGGTATGGCTTGCACGGGAAGGCACAGAGATCAAGCCGGGTTCCTTCCTGGCCTGGCCTGGCCTGGCCTGGCCTGGCCTGGCCTCCTTACAATCTCCAGTTTATTTTTAAGCATAAACTGTGTGGTGGATGCTTCACTGCGTAACGCAGCACCTCGTGATTCGTGAAGCCGGCAGGCAGATGAAAGCATCACCCAAACCCCCAAATCCCCAAACCCCCCAACCCCCAAACCCCGAACCCCCCAAAACCCCCAAACCCCTACGGGCGTGGTACATCGGCTGTTCAAACGGCCGAATCCGAACGGCCACCACATTGCACCAGACCGCATCTCATTAAAACCATCAGTACCTTGTTGAACCTTTTTAAAAAGTCCATTCGAACGGCTTTTCCATGCCCTAACCCCTATCCCCTTCAACCACTACGCCCGCACCTGACTCTCTGAAGCCCGCCCTGATGGTGCACGAGTCTCCCCTCTCCCCTCTCCCCTCTCCCCTCTCCCCTCTCCCCTCTCCCCTCTCCCCTCTCCCCTCTCCCCTCTCCCCTCTCCCCTCTCCCCTCTCCCCTCTCCCCTCTCCCCTCTCCCCTCTCTCTCCTCTCACTTCCTCGCCCCAGCTTCTCAGGCTACGGTGCTACAGACAACAGAAGCTTTGCTCTTCTGCTCACAGCCAACCATGCTGAGGGGTACTGGAACACAGCAATGTTTGTCAAGGTAACGATATGCGTACTGTCCTATAATCACGTTAACCACGCTATCCTTCCCTGCTGCTCACAGCCAAGCATGCCGGGGGGTACTTGAGCACAGGCATGCCTATCAAGGGATTCCCTTATGCGGCTCACTCGCATGGTAAACATGGCAAGGATTCTATGTTTGAGGTGCCATTCCATATTCCCCTCTCTCCCCCATTCCATATTCCCCTCTCTCCCCCACTCCACATTCCCCTCTCTCCCCCATTCCATATTCCCCTCTCTCCCCTATTCCCTATTCCCCTCTCTCCCCCATTCCATATTCCCCTCTCTCCCCCATTCCCTATTCCCCTCTCTCCTCTATTCCCTATTCCCCTCTCTCCCCCATTCCCTATTCCCCTCTCTCCCCCTTTCCTTATTCCCCTCTCTCCCTCATTCCCTATTCCCCTCTCTCCCCCATTCGCTATTCCCCTCTCTCCCCCATTCCCTATTCCCCTCTCTCCTCCATTCCCCATTCCCCTCTCTCCCCCATTCCCTAATTCCCTCTCTCCTCCATTCCATATTCCCCTCTCTCCTCTATTCCATATTCCCCTCTCTCCCCAATTCCCTATACCCCTCACTCCCCCATTCCCTATTCCCCTCGCTCCCCCATTCCCTATTCCCCTCTCTCCCCCATTCCCTATTCCCCTCTCTCCCCCATTCCCTATTCCCCTCTCTCCCCCATTCCCTATTCCCCTCTCTCCCCCATTCCCTATTCCCCTCTCTCCCCCATTCCCTATTCCCCTCTCTCCCCCATTCCCTATTCCCCTCTCTCCCCCATTCCATATCCCCTCTCTCCCCCATTCCCTATTCCCCTATCTCCCCCATTCCCTATTCCCCTCTCTCCCCAT